GATAATTGCTTCGGTTCTACCACAGCTACCGGCAATCAACTGCTCGGTTTAAGGACCTGAATTGCTTCTCGTTCAGAGGTTCACTCTCAATACAGTTACGAACAAGAGAGTTGATGTAAACGATTAACTATCAGTTCCCGCAACGCATAGACAATACAGTTACGAACAAGTCTACTCTAAACAAGCCTATGTCGACCAACGTCTCCCCTCTCGGTTCCACACGTTGATTAGTTAGGTTAAACAGGCGATCAATCTATTAACCCTAGAATAAGCATAACTTGAATAGATATGAACAATCAAGAACTAGCAATTATTATCGACCCTAATCAATCATCCCCTATCCCTAGCGTATGGATTTAGCTACTCATGTAGAATTGAACAAGAACAATCAAATTAACCCAAGCCATCATCATCAACTCAATAATTGAAGAAAATAAGAACTTACGATTAAAATAGAGAATCCCAATGTTAAAATCCACAAGCATCCAAATCCAAAGCGGTCAATAGGAGTTCTCCAGTCTCCAATACGAATCAAAAACGTAAAAGTAATGAACGGAGTGAGTTTTCTAGAGAGAATAATGTAAAAACAAGGTCTCGAAGGTGAATAATGAAGTCTAGGTCAAAAATCTGATGTTAAAATCCCGACCTCGAAATTCGCGCCGAGCAAGTCGCGAGTCGCGAGTCGCGACTTACCAAAATTCCATCTCGCGAGTCGCGAAATCTCGCGAGTCGCGCGTCGGCAAAAATATGTAAAATCTGGGGAAAATCGCGAGGTAGCTCGCGAGTCGCGACATCATCTCACGAGTCGCGACATCGACTCGCGAGTCGCGACTTGTCTCGTGGAAGTCTTCTTTTCGGCTCTGTTGGACTCGCGAGTCGCGACTATCTCGCGAGTCGCGACTATCTCGCGAGTGGCGACTCCGACTCGCGAGTCGCGAGAAGCTCTGGGCAGCTATTCGGTCCGTTTTTTCGGTCCTTCCTTCAGTATTCTGAGCACATCAACGGGTATTCATGATATCTCGGTCTCAGCTCTAGCAGTCCCGTCCTCAATCGACACAACCTACCTCCTGAAAACACAAAAACGAAGAAAACACGAAGCAAAACACAGCAAAAAGACGCACAAAACGAACTAAAGAGAAGAACGGAAAAATCACAGAATTGGACCAAATAAACTACGAAAATCCTATAAGTGGGAAAAATAAAGAGAAAATAAAGCGAAAATAAAGACACAAAAATGGGACAAACAATAGAGATGGAGAAGGAGATGGAGGGGATGGCCGAGGAAAGAGGTCGAGAAAGGAGGGAGATAGAGAAGGGCAACGAGGAGGGGCCCCGCTGAAAAGAAGAACGATTTACATGATTTCTGGGGGGCCAACAGATGGTGACTCGAACATATCGAGGAAGGAGCATGCGCGAGCGGTGAAGAGAAAGAGAGAGGAGGTGGGGATTACAACGCGCATACCAGTAATAAGTTTTAAGGCGGAGGATGCCGAGGGGGTAGTTTTACCACACAATGACGCTCTGGTGATAACCGCGGAGGTTGCGGGTTTTGATGTAAAGAGGGTGTTTATGTTTATTGATACCGGGAGTTTGGTGGATGTCATGTTCTATAACTGTTTCGTGCAGATTAACAAGGAGCTGAATATGGAGCTGAAGCCGGTAGCCACGGCGCTTTATGGCTTTAATGGAGGAGAAGTTATGCCGATGGGGGAGGTCAGTTTGCCCGTGGCGCTGGGGTCAGGGGAGCTGAGGAAGGTGCGCATGGTGAGATTCGTGGTTGTAGGGGCTGAGTCGTCCTATAACATCATCATGGGGCGGACGAGCTTGAATGCATTCCAGGCAGTCGTATCCACGTACCACATGACGATCAAATATCCGGTGGGCGAAAACGTAGGGGAGATTGCCGGGGATCAGCTCACTTCGAGAAGCTGCTACCAAACAACAGTTAGCAATAACAAACAATTGGCGAAGAAACAGGCCGAGTCGAAAGGAGAGGAAATCAATCGACCAGGAGGATCAAGATCGAAGGAGGAGAAGTAAAAGGTGGAGAAGGGTAAGGAGAAGATGGACATCCAGCCTGGAGGAGAAGTTGAGGAAATTCAGATGATCGAGGGCTGTGAAGGTAGAAAGTTCAGAATCGGGAAGGATCTGGAGGAACCCATTCGGTCAAGGCTGATCGATTTGGTAAGGGAGTTCGCTGATATTTTTGCCTATACAGCAGACGAGTTAACGGGAATAAGTGCGGAGGTGATCGAACATCGACTAAATATCGACCTCAGCTTGAGGCTGGTGAAGCAGAAAAGGAGGCACCATGGGGCGGAGATGGACAAGATTATCGAGCAGGAGGTCGAGAAACTGTTGGGGGCGAGGCATATTAAGGAGATTCAGTTCCCTG